GTGTGTGTCGTGTGTGTGTGTGTGTGTGTGTATGTGTGTGTGTGTGTGTGTGTGTGTGTGCTTTCGTGGAAGTGTTTGTGAGCACAGATGCATACACTCATGCCATTGCTTTATTCTAAAAGTTTCTTTAAAGAGGTACTCAGCTGTGGGAAAAGAATCCAGTACATCTAATTTCGGAAATAAAGGGAAGCGAATGAACGAAAAAAATGAATGAATGAATGAATGAAGGAAGGAATGAAGGAATGAATAAATGAAAAAATGACTACACAGATAGGATTCGTGATAAAGAAAGACCACAGTTTAAACTATTTTACACAATTTTGTAGCATAACGAGGTGATTCCTTGGATGGGACATACTGCAGAAATATATTACAAAGACAGTCTGAATGCTACCTACATAACCAAGTTTTGTTTTGTTGTAATTCTTGTTATTTTTGTTTTTGCTGTTGTTGTTGCTGCTGTTGTTGCTGTTGTTGTTTTCGTTGTTATTGTTGTTGTTGTTTTTCTTTAAACTTATATTATTTTTTTTACTGAAGTTGAACACAGTGTGGTCAGAAATGTGTTCGTTCAATACCCACATTCTACTAATTTGAGACCTCTAGAGCACATAGTGCTGAAAAAAGAAATTACAATAATACAGTATATAAATATGTAACGGATCAAACTGCTGGTTTCTAGTTTGGAACGAAATATTGCCATGCTGGCCTTTGAGATATTATGAAATAAGAACCTGTTTTGAATTTTTTTTAAAGATGGATGTTTCTTTTACAGCTGAACATTCAGACATGGGAAAATAACAATAAAAAGAAAGACATTTAAAAACAGAGGAATAGAGGAAAGGGGAAAGAAAATTCATACATTGCAGAAGCGCTATTGAATAATATATTATTGTACATCTTTTGTCAATATATGTTTTTTGGGCGTGAGGTTGTAGGGTACCAGTTGTAAACCTTTCTGGGTGTTTTTTTTCTGGATTTTTTTCAATTCTCTATGTCATTTGTGTATATTATAAGTGTTTCAATTTTCTCGAGCAGTGAATGAAAGCCAGTGTGTTATTCTTACCACGTATTCAAACATAACCAGAATACTCTCTGGTGTTCCGTGTTCAAAGCTACGACCTTACCAGCGGTGAGACCAAGTCACAATTACACTCCACAAAGCGTTCCGTCTCTCAAAAGGAGAAAATGATTCAGAAACCCTCCTGAAATGTCCGCACTCCACAGATTGCAACACACAATATTCCTGGAACGAAGGACTCTCCCAGGCTGTAATAATTCTACGGTTCTATATCACACGAGACGGTCAATCGATAGCCGGGAAACACAGCGCGCGCTCACACACGGATGTGCGTACACACCCCACACGCATGCACGCACGCGCGCTGTTCAATGAAGACCGAGCGAGTAGGACGATGCTGTAGAGAGTGGAGAAAAAAAAAGAAATAGAGTCCTCACACAACGCGCTCTGTTTTATTACCTTTATCAATAATGCACACGATGGTACCGCTGCTCCGAAATCGAATGGTTGGATGATGGATCAGTAGCGGGGTCCCGTGCTGAAGGGACGTAACGGCAAGATGGCCTTCAGCAACACTACTGTTTCTCACAGAAATCAAGCGCTCGTCATTTTTTGGGCATATGGAGTTATTGGTATCATCTTCAAGCCTGTTCATTTGCCTTCCTTTTGGTGAAAAAAATTTTTCCATCTATGTCGAACAGATTTCAAAATATTTGCGATTGGAGTAGGTCAGGGTCGCCTGGTTTCAGAGGTAAAATTAGTGAGGAAATGGCCGCCAAAGGTGTTGAGCGAAAAAAAAAGACAAAAAGAAAATAGGAAAAAAATCGCCCATTGGCCAAAACGTGCCGATTTCTTTGAAGTCATTATTTTGACGAGCGCCTGATTTCACCACAATGTCTCACATTTTAACACTAACACTGGTCGCACCATAATACCAGACCAACAACAATGGTGTTGCTGCTTTTCTTTAGCGCCCGTTGAACGTGAAATCGCCACAATTTGTTAATATTATGAACAAATGACCCCAGCTTCACACAAGCACTACATTGGAACGAGTTAATGCCCTTTCGATATCGACGCCAGTCCATCAAATTTTTAAGCTGTGCATGGGAGCAACAACCATTTTTATATCGAAACTAAACTGGTTTAGATTAGCTTTAAACAGAACGACTACCTTACTGTATCGGCGGTGTATGAGATTATATAAAAGCTCTGCATCTGAATAATCCTTTTAAATGGGAACTGCACCGGCTGTACATGAGCCTTATATGGGAACAACTTCATGTACCTTTCTATATGAGCTCTACACTGGCTGCGTATCGGAACTACCTTTCTAAATAAGGCCTACATGAGCTCTGCATTGGAACAAACCTTTCTATATATCGACACTATCCCAGTTCCTCGTGAAAGTTGTACCTCCATGCACACACACATACACATACACATACACACACAACTACAACAACAGCAGGAACACCGAGCAGCGAGCACTCACTCCAGCGAGCGAACAGCTTCCCCCAACAGCCGGCTGTCCACACTGGCACAACAGCAACAGGCGGCCTCTCTAGTCCTCTGGTCTGGAACCCTTCTTGGGGTTTATAGATCCGTCCACCTACTCCTCCTCCTCCTCCTCGGCGCCGTGTCGTGTCTTCCTCCTCTTTCTCCTCCTCCTCCTCACTCTCTCGCCATCACAGTGCCCCCCCTCCTCCTCCTCCCCCACTCTACCACCAACTCGACAACCGCCATCGCTGCCGCCATTTCTCAGCACAGGGTTGCTGGGACCGGAGTTCTCACGCAATGCACGCGCGCCTTTGCTCACCCTGTCTCTAGGAATCTAAGACCTGGTGCCGACTGTCATGTATATAGAGCATGGAACCATTCATCTTTTAACCTAAGCAAATGTCTTCAAAGAACGAGTACAGCTTCTAAGAACTGGTACATATAAACGTATAAAGAGTATGAAACCCTTCACTTTTGAGATCGAAGCAAATTTCTTCTGTGAAAGGGCATAGACAGTTACGCAAAGACCGTAAAAGCCATCACACGTTCAACTTTCAGCAGATTTATTCTAGGAACCGATAGAGACAGTTATGTAGAAATAGAAGGATAAACATTTAATATTTAACTTCCAGAAAATGCCCTCTAAGAACGGATACGGACTGTCACATTATAAATAAAGAGCAAACCATTCAGCTTTCAGCTTGCAGCGTATTTGGTCAAATCAACAATTTAGAGGATAAATGTTTCTTAGGTTACCTTTATTGTACGTTCAAACTACACCATTAATGTACCTTTTATTTATTTATTTATTTATTTATTTATTTATTTATTTATTTATTTATTTATGAAGATCTCCGATTTGATAAGAACAGTCTCTGGTCTCACCAATCTTTGAGGGTGGGGAGATAATAAAGCGATCAACAACAAAAAACCCACAAAAAACTCAGATTAAAAAAAACCCCTCCTGTTCCTGATGGATCTAATCTAGAACCGTCTGCATCACAGTCCAGCCAAATGGCCACTGTTACTGAGCCTGCAGGGCACTAATTCAAATTTGCTCTCTGGCGGCCAAAACGTTTGTTTTGCATGTCAACAGATTGTAATGATAGATAGATAGATAGATAGATAGATAGATAGATAGATAGATAGATAGATAGATAGATAGATAGTTAGATAGATAGATAGA